ATATATATATATATACGTTTAGGAATATTAATTACTTGACTCAAATCAGTTATTCGCTAGACCGTAATTACAAATTTATCATTTGGCGATTAATTCTTCAATTCTTTTCTCTATTTGCACCTTTATATAATTGAATTTTCATATCTAGAACATATTTTTCTTCTTTCATTTCATTATTGTTCCTATACATATCTGCAGGAAAAAATATTTTACACAAAAATTATCTGACGTTTTGATATAACAAGTTCTTTTTAAAATACATAGACTTATAACATTCAGGATTGCGATACATTGATTTTTATAATCATATCAATTATTCAAGATCATGCAAGGATTAAAAATAAGTGCACACAACTCTGACTGTGTATATTAGAAAGTATTACATCCATTGATATTGGTCCGAAGAAATTGTATGCGGATATACACGATTATAGAGATCTTGTCATGAAAAAGGATAACTTAAAGTTAAATATCAATGATCACAAATAATAAGCATATTTTTATGTGTTTTTCATAAAAACATACAACACAAGTTTATTAAAGAAAATATTTGTTAGATTTATATATTATTTTTTGAAAAAGATCAGAAAATATTGATCAAACCTTAAACTAAGTTCATAGAGAGTAACATTACTTATTAAGAGAGATGTTCGTTATTATTACTACAACGAACGAACAATATGTAACAGTTTCATATTAACAATTTTTTTAATTATACACGCACATACGTGCATGCGGACATAACAATAAACGCGCTAAATAGTTACATTGACTTAGTGGATAAAAGTATTTTCAAATACATTTATATCAATATAATGATATTTCCCAAATATATCTTTCATTATATATGTGTGTATAGGTATTACATTTAAAATGTGTTTAAAATGAGAAAGAAGATAAATTCATGCCTATATTAGTGGCAGTGATAGGTCGTTAGTATTTATAAAGAGAAAAATATTACCAGACATTAAGTAATGTCTTTGATAAGAAAGATATATTTTATCTCTATCAATTTAAACAACAATAATACTTTTATTCTTCTAGAATTCAATGCCAATTTTTATTATTTTTTTTTTACTATGAAAGATAACTTTATTCTATTTTTTAACTTTACTAACAGCCTTTGTACTATCAACAGTATTGTAATTATTTTTTGAATCTACTGCACTTAAAGCTATTCCTAGTTGTGCTGTATAATACGTTAACATAATAGACACCTAAAAAATAAAAAATATAATTGTATAATTTTTTAATTAATACAAATTGAATATACGTTTAAACATACCTGAGAGTAAGGTAATGGACTACGAAAATAATGGAATCCAAGTAATGTATCAGATATTAGAAAACATATACTGCCAACACAGCTGCATAGTTTTGTCCATGTCCATAATTCCTAATAAACAAAAATATTCACAGTTATATATACATATTATGATAATAAAATATAAATTAATTAATTATTAGATTCGTTTAAAAATTTTGATTTCTTTTTCAATTTTAAAATAATAAATTATAAAATGTCTACTTTTATGATTGTAAGTGATCCAGAAAAAGCACCTTGAACATAAATTCTATTAATACATGTACCTTTGATTCAATTGAAATGACCCTAGCTCTTCACTTGATAACAAGTAATAAGATAATGGATTACTGGATTTATCGCAATATGATGACCAAATAACTCTGGTCATTTAAAGAAATAAATAAAATAACGCTCTATTCAAAAAATAAATTTCAAAATAAGTTTTAAATCGTAAACTATTTTAAGATGACGATTATACTGACCTCAAAAAATTGTACTCGTGCGATAGCTCTCCATGCCATTGTAGTTAATAACAGTGTATAAATTGGAACACCTATGACTAGAATACCACTTAGACCAGGCATTAAAAGACATATGACTGAAACATAGGAATGTAGTTGTTTTATGTTGTACTAATATCATAAATATCAAAATGATATTTTACCTAAGGAACAGAATGAGTACATTATAGCACCAAGTAGCAAATTTATCGGCTTAAAGCCAAATGCATAAATGTACATGATTTGAGCAATAGCAAACATGCACATTCCTGCAGTAAAACAATTTGGCCATACTAGCAGAGCATCTCCTATGCAACTGAAGACTAAACCAGTTAAAATACGTCTAGAAAAGGTATACCTGTAAATTATTAAAATATATATATATATATATGTATACATAAATACATTTATTGAAATAAATAATATAATAAGCAATCATTTATTATTTACAATTGTGTGGGTATAATTTGTTAATATAATTTATAACAAATAAATACAAAATGAAATAATATTGGACTTACTCTTTGGATAAACTAATTCCATGTAACAAAACAAAGACGATAAGACTTATTATTGGCAAACATTTGAAACATGCAGTTAATAGAGATGGCTGCTGTGCTAGTAGCACAAAATATACAGATACACTTTTAAAAAATGGAACTAATTTTGGGCCAACACTTTTAATCTGTAACATAAAGGTTACTATACTCGTACAATATTTGTATTTAATAATTAAAAAAAAAAAAGAAAAAATAATTCACTTATAAAACATATTACTAGATTCTTCGTAAATTATAAATATTATAATCGTGTATAATTCTAAATAATAAATGGAAAAAAAGAAGATTCTATTAATCTGTAATAAAAAAAAAAGATTATTTTTATCAAACTTGATATACTAAAGTATGTTAAATCAAGTGGTATATGTGTGCTAGTGTGGTAACATAGAGACAAAGAAAATAACAAAACAAAGGAACAAAGAAAAAGAAAGAAATATTCTAAAAACAAAAATAAATTCACATTTATTGCTTATAATAATATTGATTCTAATATGAATATTAAATTATTAATTAAATTAAATTTGAATTCGATAAAAAAGAAAACGAATCACTTCATCGAAATATATCTACGCATATCTCTTTGTTAAAGCTATTAACAACAATGAAAAAAGATAAAAAGACATAAGTAAAACTTGTTTATGCGTCTGATACAAATATAGCGCGATAAAAACATTGGTGGAACGTAAACAAAAATCATTGCAATACATTTGTATTTACCACTTGTGTTGGTGATGACATTTCGCAGGAACCAATCAGCAATATATATACGATTATTATTGAAAGATTATTAAATATTTGTTAATGTCAACGTTATACAAAGCATATGTCGTCTGCTAGTAACGCATAAGAGAAGCTTCCCAGTGCGCTATGCGAATAACACTGTTGAACACAGGGTATCCAGAGTACTGTCCAACATGACAATATTATCTAATGACATTCTTAATCTCTCTTGACCACACTAACAACATTACGAACGTCATCTTGATCGAATATATTCAAGTCAAGATTAAACCGATTCAACTCCATTATGGCAGATTTCATTGTCAATCCGCGGATGATACAAAGTCAATACTTTGCATTTTTCTTATCTATATTTTTAATATTTCCCCCACCTCTTCTTTTTCTTTTTCCCCTTCTCCTCAACCTCATCTTCATCATTCTTCTTACCATATGTTGCGCGCGAAAAAAAGATCTAAGTTTATTGAATAGATGCATAAAAGCAATGAATGTTCATCTAAATATCAATATGAACAAAAATTACAACAACTTTTTATATTCATAAATATTCAATTTATAAAAGATCAAAGTTTCATCTATTATCTTATTCATTTTTTCTTTTGATGACGCATTTTACTTACAAACATACGTCGTTACGTCTGAAGATCAAACAGAAGTTTTTATATAAAGGACTTTTATCTCATTTAAGCAATGACAAAAAACAATGGAATATTTATTTTGTTTAATTACCTCATTACTTTTAATTTTATTGTAATATGTAACAGAAATGGAGAAACGTATCAAAATATTGTAAAAAATAATTAAGAAAGAAATAGAGTGTTACTATAATTATTGGTAATAGTATTATTATATATTAAACAATCTAATTTAATTATTACAACTTAAATAATATTAGCTTAATATGAAATATATGAAAGAAACGTAAATCTTTTAATTAAATTATAGTTTATTTGAACTTGTACCATATATACGAATATAGATGGCGTTAAAGTGCTAATTCTGGGCATGCGAAGTAACCATTGTTATTGATCAAATTTTAAATATTTCTATATTGATACACAATTTACAAAATTTTTTCATCAAACGCGTTCTAATTTTGAAGAACGAATATTTTTTATGTTATTCATCTTAAAAATTTTAAGAAAATACTACATGCATTTAATTTATATAAAAAAGAATAAATACAAAAGCAATATAGTCGTTAATGATCAAATTTGTATTGTCATATTATAAAAAAGTAATGGTTCCATTAAAAAATATTTGTACAAGATAAATAAT